TTTTTTTTTTTTTTTTTTTTTTTTTTTTTAACTAGACAGTTTACCTAGTTGTTGAACAATTAAGACCTATTGACCAAAATGGTGATGAGCGGCTCTTAATTCCAGGGAAGAGCTAGCAGTGCTTGTAAAACTGGCTTCTTTTTCACCACTGCCATTTGCATTCAGTGTGAAGGCAAGTGAGGGGCTGCCAGAGGCAGGGGAACCGGGAGGGGAAAGGAGAGAGGCGTGCTGAGCTGCTTTACAATACCGTGGCAGGGGGACATGGCTTTGCTACAGCAGAGCCCAACTCTGCACTCCCTTGGTCAGCCACGTAACAGCATCGGTGCCTGCAGGCCTCGGGGTCAGGGAGCAACGTGTGGGTCAGTCTGGGTGATGCCTTCCCCGTGACGTATTCAGCCCGTACCCTCTGGTTCTGACCTCTCCCTGGGTTGCGTGCGCCCAGAGCACAGCAGCCGCCGCTGGTTAAGAGGCTGCCTTACCTGTGACCTGATCTTCAGTGCTGGGCCCAGTTTGAGCCCCATGTTGTTCAGTAAGTGCTCTTCGGTCAGGAGAGGCAGCGTCTCACCATCGATGGCCTGTTCTCGGAATACCTGCAGGAAACCACAAAACCATGCTCACGGGTGCTGCCGTGGTGTGGTGGTTGGGCAGAAGGGGACTTCCCACATGCAGACGCTGCCTATTGCTGCCCCAGTCAAGGCTTTCCAGGGTGCTCCCAGAGGAGCAATGGGCTGCCTGATACACTGCAGCTGCATCAGGGGAAACATTTACATATGCAGGCCCCCGTGTACATGCAAACCAGGCAGCAGAGCAGTCTGTGCATGGCATGCGTTGGCAGGGACATGTACCATAACAGCACTGATTTTCCATGATCCCATCTATTGACCTCGTGAGGCAGAATGCATCGCTCCCCGACGGGCATATCTAGGAGCTCTGCACTGTCGCCGCTGCCTGCACACCGGTATCAAAGGAAACCTGCTAGCAAGCACATCCCCCATGGCCCCAGCCCAGACCCTCTGCAGTGCCCTTATTGCCTGCATTTCCCTCTGCAGTCCGCACATCGGGTGTCCAGAAACGCACATCGGGTGTCTATTAAGGCCTGATTGTTTAAACCCAAACCAGACACTGAACAGAGCTAAAATCCCAGACAGACAGACGGGGCAGGCTGAGCGGTGTGTGCGCTGGACTGACTCGGCCCTGCTGTGATGGCATTTGTCCTCTGCCCTGCTTTTAGGTCGGAGTTAACAGGCATTTTAAATGAAATGAAATGAAAATAGCGGTGGCCCCTGGTGTTGCCCTGGGTGGAGTTCTCCGCACTAAGCGTGCCCTACACCAAAGCAGGGCAGCGGTAACGATGCAAAAACTAATCAGATCCACGTGCCAGCCAATGGCCAACTAACAGTGTGATGTGGCTTGTGCGCACACTGGCTACCCTGCGTCGGAGCCGCTGAAGGGCCATTGTCACGTGCAGAACTGGAACGTGCACAGGAGTGACAAGTCTGACACCGGCCCAGTCCGGAGCCCACAGAGGACTAGACCCTCTCCCAAGAGAAAAGACCTGGCTCGCGTTTGTCTCCTGCTGTGCGAAGGGACCACACCACAGCTTCCCTTTGGCCGTGCTGCATGGGGAAGTGTTAGCAGGGCACTGAGGCCCCAGCCCAACCACCCCCTCCATCCTCCCAGCTCTGCTGTTTCCCATGGGTGAGGCGGGGGTGCAATTCTCCTAGTCTGCCTGCCAGGGCTTACGTCCTTAATGCTGGATTGATGCTTGCGGCTTCACTCAGGGTGCGTACAAGATCCCTGCGCAGTCATTGCTGTCCCTTGTGCCCAGGCAGACGACCCTGTCAGCCAGGGGACCTGCCTTCCAGCAGCCGTGGGGCCTTTGCCACCCAAGTGAGCTCTGCCTTCAGCTCCACAGCAGTTCACCCACTGGCATCTAGGGTGACCTGGCTGGGGGGGGGCTAAGCCAGACTTGCCAGCTGACACCTGCCCCCATCTCCATGCCACTTACTCCCTTGTGCTGGCTCACCACAGCACAGCAGGGCTTGCCAGGTGTTTGCATGGCTGTTTCCCCCACCCCCCCACACACCTTGCACCCCAGACCTGTCCCCTGGAAAGCGGCTGCAACTGCTGGAGCCGAGCAGCTGAGCCGTTGCAAGCTTGCTTTTTATAGCAGGACTCCGCTAGTGCAGCCGCTCCTGGCAGCAGCACGTGTTTCTGCTCTCTGACCTCATGAAACTTAATAGACCCGTTTCTTTCCTTCCTCTGCAGCCAACGTGGCCCGGATCCAAGCGGCTCCCCGCGCTCTGCGACCCTCCCACAAAGCCCTACCCTGAGCATGTTAGGAGCCCCCAGGGCCCATGCAGGGGCCGCTGCTCGCTGTGGGGACAAAGCCGCGCGTTGTCAGAGGCTGGAGCAGGGCAGCTGCCTGTCTGCCAGGGCGTTCCCCGCGCCGGGCTGAGGCGTGTTGCTTTGTGCGCAGCGCTCCGCCAAGCTCCCGCTGGCGTTCCTGGCGGGGGCTCTCCGCAGGCTGATGCCAGACCTCCCTGGCAGCTGTGGTTTTGGAGGCGAGCGAGCACAGACGGCGCTGCAGCTCCGAGCTGCAGCAGGGCTCCAGAGCCTCCACGCAGCGAAGCCTGCTGAGCACAGAACAAGGCAGCACAGGAAAGCCTTCTCCTCTGAGCCCACTTGAGCTGGTGCCCCTCCAGCCTGCCAGGCAGGTCCTGTGATACGAGGACGCTTTGTTTGCAGAGCTCCTAAGCACATCCCGCGTCTCCCATCAGCTATTGATTTCCCATCTGCTGTGGGGGCACTGGGCGGGGAATGAGCTGGGATGGGGGCGGAGATGGAAAGGGACAATCCTTGTGCAAGGTGTCCGTGTTCAGGGTTTTGCTACCCTCAGTGCCACTGAGCTCCTGACCAGTTGTTGCTCTGAGATGCAAATCTAGAGCAGCCACAGTGCTGCCAATGGTGGTAGGACAGACAGGGCTGGGGGGAACAGACCTCTGGTTACCTATCATCTTCCCTGAGCTCTTCAAACCACCCCTCTCCTGTCCCCCCAGAGATAATGCTCACCCCACATCACCCACTACTCCTCTAGCCCTGCTCCCATACCAAACCGGCCCTCCCCCTGACTCCCCCTTGTCCTCTCACCCCTTCGCACACTGGCTGTCACTCACCAACATCCCATCTCCGTCAGGCACACTCACTCCGGCATCCTCCCTCTCTCGCACGCACACACAGCTGTTCATGCTGAGGAAGCACCAGCCTTACAGGTGGTTTTAATGAAGCGTGTCATGATGGGATTAGCACCACAGTTAGGGGGCAAGGAAGGACAGGCTTTGCATTGAAAGCACATCAGCCAGCCGCCCCAGGGAGCTGGTGGGGAGGTGGTGGCTCCGGGCCACCATAATGAGCAACAAAGCCCAGCTCCCAGCCTCCCCGGGCCCCTCGGGGACCATGGTTAAGGAGCTTTTGCTCTGTGAAAAACGTGCCGCTTTCATCAGGCCCCCGCTATTGCAATCAGCACGGACTGAAAGGAGCCGCCTGCTCCAGGCCAGAAATGTGAACCCAGGAGCAACAATCAGGCTAGGCCTTGGCTTGCCCCCGCTGACTGGGGTGGCCTGTGGTTCAGGAAGGGTCACTTGCTGGGGCAGTTTCATGCTTCAAGCGGCGAGGGTTGGCTTGACCAGTGAGAGGCTGGGTTGCTTTTGCAGGGGGGCATGATGCTGACTGGAGCTGGGGAGTCAGTGGTTTGGAGCTGGGTTTCCCCAGACCTGCCATATCGAGCTTGCAGGGCTGAGCGCTCTCTGGCTGCTGCACTGATTTCCCTTGTTCCCAGCTGTTCTGCTCCCTTTCAACCCCTTGCTCCCTGTCTGTGGGGAGCAGGCCCCTGAGAGGGTGGACTCTGGAGCAGCCTCCTCTCCCCTCGTGCCAAAACACTGGCCTCTCTTTGCAAGCCTGTCCCAGACAGCTCTGGAATCCACGTTTGCCGTCGGTGCGCGCGCTCAATGGGGCATTTATCACGGCCCTGGGCAGCCAGCGGAGCCGGAGACAGAGCTGGGTTTTGTGTCCCACTTCGCGGCCTCACACTGAGCTGCTTTATGAGCCCCGCAGCAGTGATGGATGCGTCGCTCCTGCTGCAAAGGGATTTAGGGAAAGGGGGGGGAGCGCACGGCAGAGATTGATAGAGTGCAGCGAGCTCCCTCCCCTGCCCCTGCGCCTCCTCCCTGCCCCCCGGCTTGGGAGCCCTCCCTAGAGTCAAGCCAGCTCCGGGGAGCTGAAACCATCGCACGTGTTTTGACCGTGACCTGGCCAGAGCCTCGCTCTTGGCAGACGGCAGGGAGCATGCCCCGCTGCTGTGACCTTTTGCCTGGCATCGCCCTCCGTGTCGGGGAGATGCAGGGCAGGGTCGTTAAAGTGCCACCGTCTTCCAGGCCAACCCGCTGCTGCGTCCTGGCCACAGCCCCAGGGCTCCCAGCCCTCTGCGCTTGGATAAAAAGCCCTTCTCAGCGGCGCCAGAGAACTGCACACAGGCCCTCATTACAGCAGGCCACAGGCTTGGCTCCCTCGGGCAACCCTGCACAAAGCCAGCATTGTGTCCCCCTCGGCCGCAGGACACGACGGGCTTTCTCACTCACTCACGCTCACACACGCGCACACATGTACGCGGCAGGCCAAGAGGCATGTCAGTGCACGGCCAGACAGGAGAGCTCCCCCCCCGCATTGCTCTCCCCACCCCTATCCCTCCGTGCGCGGGGATGTCTATAGGCAGCGCATGGGAAAGCCCCATCTGGGAGGAAAACCAGCAGCTGCAGCACCTGCAAGGCCCTGAAACACTACTTCTGTCAAGTGGGGGTTGATGGCAGGGGGCACCGAATAAGCGCCCCCCAGCTCTCCTGGCTGTGTGCGTCCCCGGCGGCATGGGCCTTACCTGAGTGTACTCAGCACAGCCAGACAAGCTGCCCACAAAGCTGCAAACATCCTCCACCGTCCATTTGCTGATGTCTTCCAGCGCAGGGCTCTCCTCGCCGTCCAAAAACAGACCTCCCATGGTGCCTGGAAGGTTTCGGGCAGCAGGGAGGGAGGGGTGGAGGAGGAGAAGGAAACATAAATCATTAAAAAACCCCACGCGGACAACCACCAGCCTGCGAGCGGCACAGCCGTCTCTGGCCGCACATCCATCTTTAATGACCTGTCAATTATGGCGCTGGGCAGGGTCAGCGCGCAGGCCTCTGTCTCCTGGAGGTCCCTCACTCAGGAGGAGAGGGGGTCTTGGGGTGGGGTTTTTTTGGTTTTCTTTTTTGAGGGGGAGGGGAAAAAAAAGCCCAGCTAATGTGTTTCATGTGTTTAATGTTCTTCAGCTGCAGCAAACACAGGAAAGGGGAAGGTTTGGGAGAGAGGGGGAAATGTGGGGGGGGGAAGGAGGAAATATCTCCCCTGAAGGAGCGTTTCTCCACACAGGCCACAAAATGGAAAAACTCTGGCTGCCCTGCAAGTTTCTCTCCCCCGGCCCTTCTCCCAGCGACGTGCTATGCCTGCTAAGGAGCCCGGCAGCCCCCCCTGCCACCCGCGGCTTGGCTGGAGCATGGGGAGAAGTCCTGCTCCTGCCGAACAGCTGCTTGGTTTTTAAAGTTGTCTTGGCCACAAAGGTCCCCTTTTGACCTGTCTGCCCAGCATGGCCATACACAACCCCCGCTGCTGCCCCAGTCCTCTGTGGGATCAGGCATTGCTGAAGGCGATTACCCCCCCCCCCGCAAAAAGAGCCATGGTGGCACTGGGAGAGGGTGGTTCGTGCTGCTGCGCTGAGCTGACAAGATGCATCACCAGTTCGGGCTCCCGGCTCTGCTGGCGCCCATCCTGCAAATGGACAGCTGTGGCTTCCCTGTCCCTCCACTGCTGGATGGCAAGCAATTGCACGCAGGGGGGAGCTGGACTCATGCTGGGGGCGGTGAGAATAGCTCAAAAGAAGGCTAGCCAGGCCAGCCCCGCTCTGTGATTAACACACAGGCCTCCTGCGGTGTACCTGGGCGGGTGTTATGCCCCAGGATAGCAAATGCTGCTTTGCACAGGCCTTGCTAACTCACAGACTTCGCCAGCGCTTCACACCAATGCGGCCATAGCCTCGAGAGGCTTCCAAGGGACTGGGCCTTTATGGGCCTCATCAGACCATCCGTGGCTGCAATGGGTAGGGCAAAAATTTATAAGGGACATAAACTCTCGTGCTTCAGGGCATGAACCAACCATTAACTGGAAGGAGCATCCCTCAGAGGCACATTGCTGCTTAATTATCTGTTATGAAGGCTCTGAAACGGCTGCTGCTGGCCGCTGCCGGAGAGGACACGAGGCTACGCTGACCCCCGCGGCAGCCCCTACCCTCCTCAGCCTGTCGGGCTGGACAGCAGGCAGCGGGATGCCCTTGGCACGTAAGAAGGGAAGACTATGCACATGTGGCCCAGGAGGTCAGGACCGGCCAAGCTTCGGCAGTGACAGCAGCCTCATCCCTGCAGGCGGGCAAGGGTAGCCAGAAGGGCGCAGGCCACCAGGATAAACTGCAGGCTGGTGACGTGGACGGCCCAGCATTATAGGAAGGGGGAAGGACGCGTGCAGGAAGCAAGCATACCAACAGGGTACTCTTGCAGCAGCAACCGTCTGAACTAGGAGGCAGGTGCTGTGACATCCTTCCTGCTATACTTCCTTCCTGACTTCCCAACTGCCACCCCCAGCCCCTGCCCCCTGTTCCTGCAATGCTAACCCGCCTTCCTGGGGGGCAGCCATCTCGGCGGCAGCAGCAGCCAGCTGGCGGGGGCTCAGGATATGCTCCTGCCCCTCCAGAAGGTCAGGCTCAAGTCCTGGCAGTCCCAGTGGATGCTCCAGAGAAGGCAGGTGTCGAACCCTCCCGCCAAGCTCTTCCCACCCTTTCTTGAGGCTTTGGCACTCCTTTCTGCACTCCCCCCACTCCCCCACCCAGCTTGCAAGCACCTGAGCTTCCCTGCAGTTTTACGACTGCAGAGGAGTAGCTCCCCACTAGGGCTGGGGTGGTCAGAAGAAGGCTAGGACATCAGGAGATGCCTTTGTCCGTCCCTCCCAGCTTGCAGACAGGCACAGACAGACAGTCTCACCCCTTTGCTTACATGATGGCTTTCGTTCCCTGCCCGCGAAACCAAACTCCCAGCTGTTTACACTGCAGCGGGCGAAACGCTGGGGTGGCTGATTTCCCCGCCGCACCCCTCCTCCCCGGCCTGTTTAGAAGCACGGCTGCGGCTTGGTAAATAGAGGAAGTGAAACCGAACTCAATTATTCCAGGCACAGTCGGCGCGCGGGTGAGACGCCTCCATCTGCAGCCAGAGCAAGCGTCTCTGAGGGGATCGGCCCTGTAACAGCCAACGGCTTTAAAATTAGGTACTTCCTTATTCCGAAAGCGAGCCAAAGCCTGCAGCCGTGCAGCGCTCGGGCGCTGAGCCCGGCTCCGTGGAGGTGCAGGCAGTGCCAGAGGACAGCCGGCCCCAACCTCTGGCACTGCCTGCATCTGCATCAAGCAGCTGGTTGGTACCTGCCTGGCACCCACACCTGCCAGGATGTGGGGTGGGGAGGGTGCAGGTAAGAGGGTGCTCAAGGGGCCAGGTGAAAGCATGGGGAACCCCTCCGCCTCTCCCGCCTGCTGCAGGGATGCATGTGCTTCTGGGGAAGAGTTGGAAGTCAATGCACTTTGCCTGTAGGCAGCACATAGGGAAGCCCCGTCTGGGAGGAAAACCAGCCTATTTTGCCTTCATCTGTTCCCTGCCTATTTTTTTTTCCGCTCCTCCGTAAAGCAGGGCGAAAGATGCACACAGCCACCCACACAGTGAGCCTGTTGTCTCCAAGCATCTGGGCAAGACAGGCCTTGCTCTATGGGAACTAGAAATATTTTCCACATATCCACACACAGAAAAATATAATATCGCCAAAATATCTATCTCCAGGAGTTTGCCGTCCCTCGCCACCCACACCAGGGAAACATGGACACCGACGGATTGAAACATTACAGGAAGAAAAAGTCAGTCCCGGCATGCCGGGAAGTTCAGACACCTTCCCAAGGTCTAGATCAGTGGTTTTCAACATTTTTTGTAGCAGGACCCATTTGCAAACATCAGTGGCCAGTCCAACCCCAGTACCCCTCACTCCCAGTCCCCAGCCCCGCAGTGTGTGCAGCAGGGGGGCCCCCAAGCAGCCCCTCGCAGGCTGGAGCTCTGCCAGCCTGCAACAGAAAAGCCAGTTTCCCCCATTTTTCTCCTTTAAAGGAGAATGCATTTTTAAAGTTTGTTGCTCTATTTTTAAAGTTTGTTCAGGAGCCTTTCATATATTCTTGAGACCCTCTTTGGGACACGACCCACGGGTTGAGAAATTCTGTTGTAAAGCATCGAAGCATAGAGCGGCGGGGGGACAGACCACTGCCCCACTAAGTCCTTGGCAAAGCCCATGGGAGTTGAATGAGGGCCAGACTGTCAGCAGCTCTGAGCAGCCCCGTAGAGTTGTGGGGGCCAGTGTCTCTGAACTGCAGGACCTAGAAGCCATCTACTCTGCTCTCCCCCGGGCTAGGTCAGCAGGAACTAGGCTCTGCGAAAGACTGGCTGAGTAAAACTCTCATTATGTAGAAAGGCAGAAGAGATGATCGTGTCTGCCGAGCATGCTACAGCCAGTCCCTGCTGTCCACCCTCCAGCCATTATAAATGGCTACAGCACAATGAACACCCCCACAACTACCAACACACACCCGCCCACTCCCCAGCCTGCTCCATCGCGGTGCCTGGCTGTACAAGCCCACCGCCGCGGCAGTCAGGACACCGGGGAGCAGAAGGGAAGCCTCCTCCCGGCTGGTGACCAGCACGTTGCTGGATCCTGCTGGACCACAAGGATGAAAAGCCAGCCAGGCTCCTCTTGTCGCAGGCATTGATGAATGGAGGGGCAAGGCTCTGATAATGGATTGAGGAGCATTTCACCAGCTGGGGCCCAGCCTGGCAGGGAGTGAAAAATCACCGTCCCAGGCCAGCAGCTGGCAGACAGTTGTCTGCATAAAGCCGTCACCACTGGCATCCGCTACTGGGATTCAACCAGCCTCTTCCCCCACCTTGTGCGAGGTACATTGCTGGGGCAGTGGAAGGACTAATTGCAATGGAGTTGCTCCCACTGAGGGGGTTACAAAGATGCCCTCCCAGTCTCTGCCCCTCCCTGACGCACAGTGCTTTGGGCACGGTGGCATTACCGCACATGGGCTGTGTTGGCGCTGGGATACAGAAGAGACCCAGGACCTCCTCACCCCGCGCGGCCTCCAGATGTCCAACCTGGCCTTGCTTTTCTGTCCAGACAGCCGAGCCGGCCAGAATCGCCGATGGCTCAGAGCAGGCCCCGACGCCAGTAGGCAAATAGGGCTAGTCAGCCTCGTGATCGCTCCCACCCACCACCCATCCTGCCCCACACAGCGCAGAGCAGAGGGCCGGGGCACCAGTGCTGGAAGGCGCGTGCTAATTGCTCTCCAGCCCGCGATCGATAGCAGGATTTTAGCCTGCTGCACACTCCATCCTTCACCTTTTCCAGAGGACGGGGTTGGGGGGGGGAGCAGGGGGGGGCAGCCGCGATGCTGCTGAAACCTTGAGGAGATGAGGTCATCGAGCAGCCTCCAGATTCCCATAAGGCAGCTCAGGGAATCGACCACGCTCTGGCAGCCTCGTCGATATTTTTGTTGTCGGGGATAGAAAACAGCTCTGCCTGCAAGGAAGGAGCGGGGCCCTCCCCTTTCTGGAAACCCGGTGGGGCTGGCCAAGGCACTGCGGTCAGTCAATCACAGTCAGTCAATCATTCGTAGCCAGCGTGGTCCTGTTTCCTTCCCCCCCGCCACAACCCCACGTAGGTCTGGCACCGCACTTGCCCGCCTGCGGCTGTTTGTTAGCTCTGCGGGACAGTCCTGCCCTGGCCCACGCAAGCTACAGAAGAGCAGAGACACGTGAGCTTCTCTCCGCCTGGCTGTACTCAGGCACAAGCTCCCACGGGAGCCGCGGCAGGGTGTGTGCTACGAAGACTCGGGGCGGCCAAATCAACCCTGAGTTGCACTGAAGCGTACGGTTTCACATGGATGCAAAGCAGTGTGGTCAGGATGCCAGGCTGGTGCTCGGGAGAGGTGAATTTTACCTCCTCGGCTCTCCCACAGGCCCAGTGTGTGGGCTCAGGCAGGGCTCTGCGCCGCAGTTTCCCCTCCCCATCTCCTCTGTGAACGCCTACCGAGAGTCTTTACAGCCCCCGGCACAGAAGGGCTCAGCTGGGCGCTCCGGGCACGGGGGTGATGCAGACAGCAGCACTGTTAAACGTAGAGCTGGCTCAGACTGAGCAAGACGCCTTGCAGTGAAATGCAGCTATGGGATTGGGGCTGGGAAACGAGGCCCCAGGGGATGCCAGTGGCAATTAAACGTGGCTCTGATCACAGCTGGGGCCACACACCCTACCATGTTATCAATCCAAGGCCATAATCATACAGGGCACATGAATGGCACTGAGTGTGTGACCCGGGTGGTAGGGGGAGGGCTCCTGTCTGTGACCCAGGGGCAGGCAGCGGGAGAGGCCAGTTCACAGCACTGGATGCTCCTCTTCTTCAGTGGCTGGAGGGGACGTGGGAGAAGCATGGCTTCTTGCTTCCAGGCTACAAGGTGGCTCTGGGCATGCAGTCACAGACTCCTTCGCCCAAAGTAAAGACTTATAGACCAACTACCTCCCCAACCGCAGGGCCTGGTGTCTGGCTGTCGGCTACCTTCTCAGGTAAAGGACTGCTGGGCACAGCGCTCTTTGGTTTGGGGTTAAGCTAGCAGGGCTGCTGCACTGGCTCTGCTACCAGAATAGCCTCCTGGGTGCCAGGGTGTGCCCGGATGCCATCAGCCCTGAATGGCACACTGCCCGCTCGTGTAGGCTGTGCTCATCGGTGGTTTGTGCCTCTCCACGCACTGTGCCAGCAAGGGAGTGCTGTTCAGACCCTCCCTACCTACTCCCTCAGGGAAGTGCCACTCACTGCCTCTTCCAACCTTGGTTTTTGCAAGGTTAGCCTGGAGAAGAGAAGATTGAGGGGGGATTTAATAGCAGCCTTCAACTACCTGCCAGAGAGGATGGAGCTGGACCGTTCTCGGTGGTGGCAGATGACAGGACAAGGAGCAATGGGCTCAAGTTGCAGCAAGGGAAGTGTAGGTTGGATATTAGGAAAAACCTCTCACGAGGATGGTAGGAAAGCACTGGAACAGGCAGAGACAACCTGAGCAGGGTGCAGGGCCCAAGGCAAATCAGGCCCTGCCCCCCGACATGAGGAAGCTGGTGGCAGATACGGCAGGGGTGGAGGGGAGCAGCCGGATGCAAAGCAGTCGCCCCAATTCACCGCCCCCCCCAAGGGACAGCCCTGGGAACAGGTTACCCAGAGAGGTGGTGAAATCTCCAACCTTGGAAGTTTTTAAGACCCAGCTAGACAAAGCCTTGGCTGGGATGACCTAGTTGGGGCTGGTCCTGCTTTGAGCAGGGGGTTGGACTAGATGCGACCTGCTGAGGTTCCTCCTGCTAGATCTTGGATCAGCTTGGAGCACAGCAGTAATCAGGGCCGTACCTGGGGCTATTGGCACAGCTAGGTCATGAAGCCCAGGTCATGGAGCTTAGGCCATGGATTCATTCCTGACAGAGGACAGACAGCCATCTCCCCTACCTCTGCACGAGATGGATGACCTGGTATTGGTAACCCCCTTCACACACATGCCCCCCACTTGGCCCTGACATGCTCTGCTGCTGGCCACTGGAGTCAATCAGCAGCCTCCACGCATCTGAGCTCCCTGGTTGAAGCTGAAAAGTTCACACACATCAGATGTTTCTGATGGGGGGTGAGAGCTGCTATGGAAATGCAAGGGCGGGTGACAGCATATGACTTTCGAGGTCAGGAGGCTTTAGCGGATGTGAAAGTCACAGTTCAAGGGACTTCCTGAAACTCAGACCCCTGGCAGTGGTCGACACGTGCTCTGGTAGGGTCACCTGCCAGCCAGAACTGGAGTAGGAAGGAGGTGGCTGCAGCTGTACTTCTCCATTCCCTTCTCATGAAGCCAGGGAGAACCAGAGGCTGGAGAGATGGAGAAGATCTTGGGGAAACCCTGGGCTGAAACCCTGCTCTGCCCCCAATGCCTGCAAAGCAAGCTCTGTCCATTCCCACAATGGGCTGTCCCCGATTCAGAGTGATACCAGTCAGACCGACGGCCTATCTGCTCTGTGTAAAACCCTTTTCCTTCCTCATCTCTATCCTGATGTATTTGGCTACTTCTTCCCAACACCCCAAGCCAATCCCCGCAGCAGTTCTCACCCCTCCATCAAATGTAAGCAGGAGGCTACCGGTTTGCAGCTCTCCCAAGGCCCAGCTGTCTTTCAGCCGAGCGATACATATTTAATTCTTCTAGCCTTTCCCTTCATAGGTCAATCCCTCCAAGCCCTTAATCATCTTTCTTGCCCTTCCCCAGAGCCCCTTACAATTTATCAATGTCTGTCTTGAACCAAGGCTGCAACAGAAGATCCAATCAGCTCAGAGCAAACAACTCTCTCCCGGTCAGTGAGGACACTACGCCTCTGCCTACATCACAGCATAGATTCCTTTTTTTCCTTCCTACCACCATATTGCACCTTTTGCCAAGATCTCTATGGTCAACCCATAAGTTTGTTTTAGCATCAGCTACTGACCACACAACTCCCACCCAATGCACGCATGTACCTAACGGGCAGAAATTGTCTGCACGTGAAGTTACAGTCTGCTGCAGAGATCCTCAGCTTTCTAGGCCAGTGTGTATCATATTTGACTGCAGCTTCCTTATATCTCTGCAAGGAGAAAACCTGGTCCAGGACCATCTGTGGCTATATGTAGCCATCTCACCCTGGAAGACTTATGTACTCTTAGGCCAGGCCTGTTACAGCACTGGAGGTTTTCCTCTCCAGATATTCAGATCTCTCTGGGATGGATGATCCATGAAGATGGGGAATAGCAAAGAACAGAACAGAGCAGAAGTGATGCCCCGTTCCTAACATACAGCAGAAAAATCAATGCCCCTTACTCTGCTAAGCCCGCCGCTCCCCATTCAGGCCCTGGACAGTGCTTACAAGGCTCTCACCTACCTGCATGGAAATAGGGGTTCATGGTGTACGGGAATCCAAAGGGCAGCGGCTGGGGCGGTGGAATGGAGGCGGGTGGGAGGTATTTCACCTCATTTTTATTGATGCCGGGGCCAAGCAGGTGGCTGGGCGACTCTGCACTGGAGGAGCTGCCAGGGGCATTCTGGCCGGCGGCCACGTCACTGAGCTCCTTGGCCCCCTCGCAGACCTTGCCCATCTCTTTGCATTCCTTGAGTTCGCTGGCCGAGCTGCTGCTCTCGGCTTTCAGGCTCTCTGGCTTCTCGTCGCTCACCTCAGCGTCACTCTCCGAGTCCTTCATCTCCTCGTCGTTACAGTCAGGGGCACCATCCCGCACCCGGGGCTCGGCCAGCTCCTTGGCCTCGCTTAGGCCCTGCGGCTCTGCCCGGTGATGGGCTGACTTGCGGTTGCCCCGGCGGGTGTGCTCCTTGGGCGGGGTGGCACTGCTGGGCACACCGTGGTTGAGGGACAGCAGGGGCGTGTTGTTGTGCCGCAGCACCAGCATGGCATTGCGCCGCGACAGTTCCTCCCGCAGCGGGTGCCCCTCGGGGATGTCGTGCATGTTCCTCAGGGCCGGGTGGTCCGGGGGCAGGGCCGGGTGCAGGCTCAATGGGTCACCCGCCAGCAGCCGCTGCCGGTGGAGGTTCTCCAGCTCCTTCTGTCGTATGATCTCCGCTGACATCTCCAGCCTGGGTTGGGGAGGGGAGAGCAGGGGGAATGAGACTGCAGTCTCAGTCAGAGACTGCTCTACTTCCTCCTCACAGCATGAGGGAGGAAGCCCCAATACCTTACAGCCCACTGCCAAGCCTGGATCCCAGCAGCAGGAGAGCTAGTAGTGGGCTGCAAAACCTTTTGCCCCAGCTGACAGACCCAGGTGCTGGGATCGCCACATACGGACAGTGCCCAGTACAAGAACCTGGCGGGGCCGTGCTCCTTACCTGGCGAGGTTCTGCTTCCGCAGCATCTCCTGCTGCCGTGCAAACATCTCCGCTTGGGCTGGCTGCAGGAACCCGTAACCTGGGGAAATTGCACAGGGTTGTTATTGCCCACATCTGTTCTGGGGAACACAAACTCAGGGAGCAGCCTGGCTGGGCCAACTTGACCCCACTGCCCAAACTGGCTTCCTCGCCTGGAGCATACCTGGCTGCAAGACACACGGCAGGAAGCAGGGGCCTGACCCTGCCCACTCCCCTCTGACTAGGCCAGCAGTGCTGGAGGTGCAGTACGTGCATCCTATCGGGACCCAGCAGCAGAGAATCTCCTCCTATGCAGCGAGGAGACGTGGGGTAAGCTGCCCCGCACTGCTCCCATGCACCACCTGGGAAGGGCCAATAGCAGAAGGTGCCCCAGGCTGAGCTGCAGGAGTCCTCGCCCAAGGGCCTGCATTGTCCCTGGGGGAACAGGGCCAGTGAGGCTGGCTGGGACCCCCTGCCAGCCAGAACAACCTGCCAAGGCACCCTGCTGGGGTGCTGCTAAAACCTGGCGAAGTGGAAACCAAATGAAAGCAGGAGTAAAAACCACTAGACCAGTGTCCACCTCTGAGGCCAGACCCCCCCCCCCCAGCCTCTTTCCACAGCTGTGCACACCATCACCCAGGCACTCACCTGGTGTCTGGCACAGAGCTGAAGGCACCCCCAGGAAGGGGGGTCTCAAGTGAGGCCCCAGGGCGATGTGGGGTGCGTTCTGGGGGGACAGCAGAGGCGGCGGGTGAGACATCTCCCTAGGGAACGGGAAGAGACATTCTCTGTTAGACTTCTCTGGCGCTGCGTGCGGTGTGAGCCTGGCTTGGGAAGGCACTGCCCACTCGGCAGGCGCTCCCCTCCCATAACATAAGAGGAGGTTGGATGACCACCTTGCTGGGGTCGTTTGACCCCAGTACTCTTTCCTGCCATGGCAGGGGGTCGGACTAGATGATCTGCTCAGGTCCCTTCCGACCCTAGAAACTATGAAACTATGAACTGCTCCCCTCACCTGTCAGGGCCCGAGCAGGACTGAGCACCTTGTGGGGAGGCCGTGGTTTCCCTCAGTGGCCTGTGGATCCCCAAGGACTTTATTGAATGGAGCAGACCAGACCCAAGAGCCTCTGCTCAGGCCACACCTGGGCTCTCCTCCATGGCCACAGGTGCTCCGGCAGAGGTCCACCAGCCAGAAATGCCAAGGAGCAGGCCCAAGCTAGCTGTGCCAGGGACCAAGCAGGGGTGGCCTCCTGGGTCCCCTTGGGCTGGCTCTCATGAGGGACACACCGTGACCACCCTCCCAATCCCGCCACCCAGAACTGCGTGCCCTTGCAGAACCTGACCCCCGCACAATGGCCCAAGCACCTCTGGCCCCTGCCAGAGACGCTCCACCACTCCTGGGATGGGGCCGTGGCTCTGGGCAGCTTGAAAGAGCCCCATCTCACCACTTGTTATAGCAGGGCCCTGGATCATGCATGGGGAGCCCGGAGGCTTGTTGCCTTTGTAGCTGCCTTGGTTGGATTTAGTCCTTTGTCTTTAACAAGTCTTGCCAGCAAAGACAGGGGCAAGATGCAGTAAAGATAGAAAACTGTCCCCAGTAGACAAGCCAGAGCCCTGCTCCCCACCCCAGTACCCGCTCCTGACCGGCCCTTTAGCTGGAACATGCACTGGGCCCCTGGCCGTCCAGGGTGGGGAAGAGGGGCACAGGCCATTGCTGGCTAGGACCTGCCTTTCCACCTCAGCAAGCCCAGGTTTAAACCTTGCCTGCGTGAAGAGTGAAAAGCCACGTCATAGTCGGGAGGGCGGGCGAGAGGGCGGCTTCTCAATGCAGACCTGGGCAATCCCATAGCAGCCAGGCCAGACCACGGCCCTGGCGGGGCTGTCTCCTGCCTGGAGACAAGAGAGCAAGGCAGGTCAATGCTGCAGTGGGATGGCAGAGCTGGGGGTCAGTGGGGAGAGGTCTCAGTGGGGCTGTAGCAAGGGTCTGACATCTGGAAAGGCACCAGCTCTGCTCCTGACTCCAGCTAATGCTAGCTGGGGTGCAAGGGAGGCAAAAGGGGCACGAAAGGTGGGGTGCACACTGGGGAAGCCGGTAGGTACACACTGCCTGCAGAGGAGGGAAGAGAAGAGACAGGAAGCAGAGAGAAGCCAAGGTCTCTTCCATTAGTCAAATCGGCCCTGGGAGCCTGCAAGCAAATCTCAGCTTTCCGGCTGCACATCTCTTAATTCCCTTTGATGGCCACTTATAACATTATTACCTTCACCGGAGCATCTAGAGGCGACGCCAAGCGCTGTGCCGTTTATTTTCATTTTACAACATCTTCCTATAAAAAGTGCTTCAGGAAGGGCTTGGGGGAGCAGGGAGCATGCGAGAGAGGGGTGTGTGCATGTGCATAAGGGTGGGGGAAGGGGCTTTCTTGCCCTGGGCAGCCCCCCAAACCGCCCCCACCCAGTACAGCAGGGGATGAGCTCTCACTCCAGATCACTCCAATGCAGCTGATGATAATCTTTTGGGATCTTTGTGCAACTCCCCCCCTCAAGATTTCCAACACGCTGCCAAGGAAAAGGCCCCCTCTCCTCTGCTTGGCTTGCTCCCCGCTCTGGGTACCAGTCAGTGCAAACACTGCTACAATGCACACGCAAACAGACCCATGACACCGCATCGACTGAAATTCCCACCTAATGAGCCTCCGTGCCCGTGCCCGTCTGACCGTCGCTGCCTCCCCCACGCTGTCTGTCTGTCTCTGTTCTCCGGCTCTGCAGCCCCTTTCTGCCTGTCTCTCCTTTCCTCCTCCTTCCTCCCCTAGCTCTCCTCTAAACTAATTGCGCAGCTCGCTGTGTCTGGAGGAGAGCCACAGATCGATCCGTCGCTGTTGAAATGTTAATGCTAATCGTATCACCGCTCCGCCAGCGCCTCGCACTTCAGTGGCAGCTCCAATTAATCTCAGGTAACGCAGCGCGTGACCTTCGGCTCAGAGCTGGGGCAGCAGCCAAGCGATGCTTATGTAATTACACCATGAAGTGTGTAATCACCTGCCCTAATCCCCGAGGCCTCACAATTAGCTGAGGCCTCGGTCACTGGGCTGCCAAGTGCTTTGCCACCCTGGACAGCCCGCAGATGAATAACGGACAATTAAAGCAGCATGACGGGGGCTAGGAGGTGTCCGTTCGATCGTAATTAGCTGTAATCATGGGGAGACAAGCCTGGCAGACGTGCTGTTCGTTTTATAAGAAGCAATTTAGGAAATCAAGTAGCTTTTAACTCTTCCACGGCCAGGCCTCCCTGCCTCCCACGTACGCAGCCTGACCGAGAGGCGCTGGCTCGCGTGAAGCCCAGGTGCCTCCAGACTTGGGGTACGGAGATGGTTGGTGCTGGGGGAGGCTGAGCCCGACGAGGAGCAGGCAAAATAGGCAGGCCTTCCCTGCAGCCATGCACCTCATTATCAGAGCCCGTCCTTATCCTTTAATACGTCATATTATTGGGGGGGGGGGGGGCTTTGATCCTTAAGGGCCTTTCCTCAGACCATCCCTTCAGCACTTCTCAGCCCAGCCTTGCCACTCCAGAAGCCATAGGGCAGATCCCTACTTCCCCGTGAGCTGACCGAGGTAAGAAAGGGGTGGAGGAGGCAGGGAGCTCTCCCGGGGGACCCGGGAGATGCTGCTGTTGGATTCTGGCAAGGCACCAAAACCAAGATATATCATACATCTTGTGCCCACCCCTACCACTCAGCGGTACCCAGGGAGAGGCAGCCAGGCAGTGTGAATGTGGCCCCTGGTGCTGTGAAGCAAGACTAGGACGTGACAGCAGATGCTTGCTTCAAAGAGGAGGGTGAGCCCTTTGCAGTACAGTCAAAGTCACTTAAAATGCCCTAGGCTGACACAGGCACCCCCTCACCGCACAACCAGCAGCACAAGTCATTTGCTGTCTGCCACCGGTATTGAGGGGGAGCGCCGCTTAAACCGCATTAAGGGCCAGTTGGTGCAGACGCAGCCTGCGCGCAGCTGCTCGCACCTTGTTATGCCTCGTTAAAGAGCAATTACCGTGCCATTCTCCAGGCCAGCAGACTCAATTAATCAATCGTTCAGTGGCTCATACCAGCCTTGGAATTGACAGCTGCTAATCATGCCTGCTGCTGCAGCCCAAAAGCTGGCGCTGAGGCCGTTGAGAGGGACGGCAACGTTTAACTGTGCTCTGGGCACTGTGGACCAATGGTCACCTAAGCTTAAACGCTGCTTGGACTGTACAGTGCTTGCAAAGATGCCCAGGCAAAGGGCTCCAAGCACTGGGTGTGCTGGACGGAAAGCAGTGGCCGTCACATTTCCTGCAGACTCCAATCCCACAGGTGGTCTCCGAGCTATGCCACGGCAAGGAGGCCCTCAGTCGACAGGCTGGCACATTTGTGCGGCACATAGGCTGCAGGGGTCAAATCCCCAGCTCAGTGTTAGTATGCAATTCACTCACAAAGTCCAGAAATGCTCTTTGGAGCAGGAGCCACTCACGCAGAGAATCAGGTTCCCTCCATCTCGGGGTTTTCCCCCCAGTGAAACAACAGCCACAGAAAATGAGCAATAGTCACCCATGCTCCAGCACAGCACTTGGTCAGGCTGCTCTCCTGGAAGATGAGGGGACGTGGGGGTGAAGCCTGCAGGCACATGAAGACAAGCACATGTGCCTTCCCGGGTCATCGGTGGGTGCTCTCCCATCCAGACTGCTGCACAAAGGTGGGCTCTCGTCCCTGGAGTCCAACAGCTCTTTAGTGCCTGCGCAGTGCAGCAGCTTCGAGGGGAGGGTTTGAGACAGCTCTGTCCTGAGAGCCCATTTGCCTCGGTGGTTGGGCACCCACTCCGCAAGCAAGCAGACTGGCAGTAGCACCGACCCTGGCTCTCCCAGCCCACAGAGAAGTGCACTGACCTGGGCTGCTGGCTCATTTAGCTTATACAGGGGCGATGGCTGCAGCGCTCCTCCTCAAACAGCCACCTGTGACTTGGTGGCTTGGGTTGCTCCTCAGCTGTGAAAGCTCTGGGGCTGCAGCCTGGCGTGGGTCCCTGGTGACTGCGCCCACTCGCAGAGGAGGATTTTCTCCCTGGCCTCTTGCAGCCCAGCAGGGCAGCTTCCCAGTAACGACACTTCAAGAGGCAGGAGCTACCCCACTCCCAGAGCCTGCAAGGCATCCAGTTGGCCTTACTGCAAGGGGACGCCGCCAGCCAAGGTGGGGATGGGAGCACACAGCTCCCATTTCCCAGCCAAGCACACAAGCCACCACAATACCAAGCAACTCAACAGCAGCCCTGCTTTTCCCAGCCACTTGGATCTTCCCTTCCTGACTGCACAGTGGCCAAAGCATGGTTTGTTTGCTTGGGGGGACAACCCACCCACCCAGCCCCTAGCCAAGTGGCTACGAGCTGAGGTTCAACCAGCTCCAGCTGAGCAAAAGCCTCGACCACCATGGGGTTTGCTATTTGCTTGCAGGGGGTGAGGCCCCGAGTTCAAATCACTTTTTGGAGCAAAGATGGGCCTGCCCTACCCTCCCTACTCCTCATAACCCTATTTGCTCAGTTCCCAGCACTGGCAAATGCCAGTGAAAGCAGCACCGGGAGTAGCTTGTAAGATTTGGGACAGTTAGATCAGTCTAAAATGCCCAACCTGATCTAAGCTGAGTGTACCTTGGAGATAGGATTAACTTAGATCTTGTTCACCA